TATGTTTTATGAATAAACACGATGTTTTGGAAATATTTATCAAAAGAAATTTATACTATGTTGCGAATTACAATTTCGAGATAACCTTCTTTTATTTACGAACTTATGTCTTTGATGCTGAAATTGACAACTTTATAAAAATACATTTTCACTGAAATTATGAAATCTGGGTGTCGGAAAGGTGTAAAATTATTCTTCGGAAAAGAAAAAAAACAGTAGTTGAGCTAGATAAGAAATTATACGGGGGCAGGCTCCTATGGAGAATTAACATTACTGGAAACAGGCCCTTTATGAATTTCCTTACCGTATGGTCACCAATTCTGCCCTTGGGAGGGGGGTAAAATTTACCATTGTAATACTTTTAGTCATATTTTACACACATTCTGTGGCATATAATTATACCCCCGCAACGAAGTTAGGAGGGGTATACTGGAATCACCCTGTCCGTCTGTCTGTCGTCCACAGTAACTTGTCCGGAAAACTCCTCCTTAACCAACAGGTGGATTTCATTGAATTTTTGTATGAATGGTCGGTATCTTATGTAGTTGTGCACCGGCATTTTAATTTGGGATTTCCACCCTTTTTGATGGAGGTATGCCCCTTTTATGCGAAATACTTGTTACTGTTGGGAGACTATGGATTGCTTTGCATTGCTTTGCCTTAGTAAGCCTTTAACTTACAGTTCTGGTTTATATAGCAGTGGGGGTATTTAGTTAGCCTTTGGCTAACAGTTCTAGTTAAAACTTGGTTGGAATTATCATCATTTGATCACAGTTTGTTAGTATGAAAATTGACATGACTCGACCCGGCCCACAGTCTAAAGGGTCAAATTGGCTAAAATTTCCACTATCATCTTCTTCAACTAATATTTGCTGGAATTCTGTACTCTTCTATTAAGTGTATCTATTTTAGGGAACAGTTGATCATAAGCTGTATCTATTTGAGGGGAAAAAATGATCATAAACTATCTATTTGAGGGAAACAATTGATCATAAACTGTATCTATTTGAGGGGAACAATCAATCATTAACTGTATCTATTTGAGGGAACAGTTGATTATTAACTGTATCTATTATAGGGAACAGTTGACCATAAACTGTATCTATTTGAGGGAACAATTGATCATTAACTGTATATATTTGAGGGAACAATTGATCATAAACTGTATCTATTTGAGGGGATCAATTGATCATTAACTGTATCTATTTGAGGGGAACAATCAATCATTAACTGTATCTATTTGAGGGGAACAATTGATCATTAACTGTATCTTTTTTAGGGGAACAGTTGATAATTAACTGTATCTATTTGAGGAGAACAATTGATCAGTTACTGTATCTATTTGAGGGAACAATTGATCATTAACTGTATCTATTTGAGGGAACAGTTGATCATAAACTGTATCTATTTGAAGGGAACAATTGATCATTAACTGTATCTATTTAAAGGGAACAATTGATCATTAACTGTATCTATTTGAGGGAACAATTGATCATAAACTGTATCTATTTTAAGGGAACAATTGATCATTAACTGTATATATTTGAGGGGAACAATTGATCATAAACTGTATCTATTTGAGGGGATCAATTGATCATTAACTGTATCTTTTTGAGGGGAATAATCAATCATTAACTTATCTATTTGAGGGGAACAATTGATCATTAACTGTATCTATTTGAGGGGAACAATTGATCATTAACTTATCTATTTGAGGGGAACAATCAATCATTAACTGTATCTATTTGAGGGGAACAATTGATCATTAACTGTATCTATTTGAGAGGAACAATCGATCATTAACTGTATCTATTATAGGGAACAATCAATCATGAACTGTATCTATTATAGGGAACAGTTGATCATAAACTGTATCTATTTGAGGGGATCAATTGATCAATAACTGTATCTTTTTGAGGGGAATAATCAATCATTAACTTATCTATTTGAGGGGAACCATTGATCATTAACTGTATCTATTTGAGGGAACATTTGATCATAAACTGTATCTATTTGAGGGAACAATTTATCATTAACTGTATCTATTATAGGGAACAATCAATCATTAACTGTATCTATTATAGGGAACAGTTGATCATAAACTGTATCTATTTGAGGGAACAATTTATCATTTACTGTATCTATTTGAGGGAACATTTGATCATAAACTTATCTATTTGAGGGGAACAATTGATCATTAACTGTATCTATTTGAGGGAACAATCAATCATAAACTGTATCTATTTGAGGGGAACAGTTGATCATAAACTGTATCTATTTGAGGGGAACAATTGTTTATTAAAATCTGTTTTTGTTGTTGTTTATTGCAGCACTGAGAGAAAGTGTAACAGAGTTGCGTCAACACTTGGATAACCTTGGAACTTATGCATGGAAAAAACTGCCAGAGAGTCAAAACAGGATAGACAACCTTGAGCTAACCTCATACTCTCAATATTCCTACATTTGTAAGTGAATCCTGCATGATCTTAAGGATGTACACCTCTGAGAAGTCAAAAATTTCCTGTATCAAACTTTTTTTCTTATATGGATTTTTGGAAAAAGGAGTTAATGGCATAGTAGAAAATGCAAAAAAAACTATATGTCTGTGTGTTCGTTTTTGTGTTATGATCGGCCACAGATACAAATTTAACAAAACATGTGATTTTAGGTGATTTTTGGGGTTTTGACCATTTGCAGAACAAATTCATGCAATTTCTTCCAAGTGTGTTATCAGATAGGTATGAATGTTTGTAGAGTTGATGAAAATTTATTTTCTTTTGAATTATGGAAGTAAAATTTCTAAATCTTATTCTTTTAACTCAGGAGCCAATTTTAGTTACCACTACCCCCTATTTTTTAATGAAAAAATACTTTTTTGCAGATTAAACGCTTGATATAAAAAGTTCTGGTCTTAAACTTTTTTTAATATTTAATGAATTAAATGAAAAGGTGTTTCTCTTTCTAAAACATCTACAAAAATGGGGGGTCAGTGTGCTTCTTTTTTTGTCCCATTATCATTTGTGTTATATTTTTTACCTTTTTCGGGGTCAAAAATCAAAATGCTTCAGTTACACTAAATATGTAAAATAAATATCAATAATGTATAATTTTCCTGTTTGTTGCCTATTATTAGCTCACCTGGCACGAAGTGCCAAGTGAGCTTATGCCGTGGCACGTCGTCCGTCCGTGTCCTTCCGTCCGTCCGTCCGTGTCCTTCCGTCTGTCCGTCCGTCCCCGTCCATCCGTCCGTCCTCGTCCGTCAACTTTTCCTTTAAACAACTTCTTCTGAAGAACGGACAGGCGGCCTAGAGTCATGATATTTGGCTGAAAGCTTCGTTGGTAGGAGCCCTACAAAGTTTGAGAACGAAAATGACCTTGACCTGTTTTCAAGGTCACAGGGGTCAAATATGTCAAAAACTTCAAACGACTTCTTCTAAAGAACTAAAAAGTATAGAATCTTCATATTTGGCTGATGGCTTCCTGGGATAGAGCCCAACAAAGTTTGAGAATGAAAATGACCTTGACCTACTTTCAAGGTCACAGGGGTCAAATGTGTCAAACACTTCAAACGACTTCTTCTGAAGAACTGAAAGGTATAGAATCTTTATATTTGGCTGGTGGCTTCCTGGGATAGAGACCAACAAAGTTTGAGAATGAAAATTAGTTTGACCTACTTTCAAGGTCACAGGGGTCAAATATGTCAAAAACTTCAAACGACTTCTTCTGAAGAATTAAAAGGTATAGAATCTTCATATTTGGCTGATGGCTTCCTTGGATGGAGCCCAACAAAGTTTGAGAATGAAAATTACCTTGACCTTCTTTCAAGGTCACAGGGGTCAAATGTGTCAAACACTTCAAACGACTTCTTCTGAAGAACTGAAAGGTATATAATCTTTATATTTGGCTGGTGGCTTCCTGGGATAGAGCCCAACAAAGTTTGAGAATGAAAACTAGTTTGACCTACTTTCAAGGTCACAGGGGTCATATATGTCAAAAGCTTCAAATGACTTCTTCTGAAGAACTGAAAGGTATAGAATCTTTATTTTTGATTGATGGCTTCCTTGGATAGAGCCCGACAAAGTTTGAGAATGAAAATGACCTTGACCTTCTTTCAAGGTCACAGGAGTCAAATGTGTCAGACACTTCAAACGACTTCTTCTGAAGAACTGAAAGGTATATAATCTCTATATTTGGCTTGTAGCTTCCTAGGAAAGAGCCGAACAAAGTTTGAGAATGAAAATGACCTTGACCTTCTTTTAAGGTCACATGAGGCAGATATGTCAAACACTTTAAACGACTTCTTCTGAAGAACTGGTAGTTATAAAATCTTAATATTTGGCAGGTGGCTTCCTGGGAAAGAGCCAAACAAAGTTTGCGAATGAAAATGACCTTGACCTACTTTCAAGGTCACAGCGTTCAAATATGTCAAACAGTTCAAACAGCTTCTTCTGAAGAATTAAAAGGCATAAAATTATAATATTTGGCTGGTGACTTCCCGGGATAGAGCTCACCAAAGTTTGCAAATGAAAATGACCTCAACCTACTTTAGAGGTCACAGAGGTCAACAACATTTTAATGGATTTGTTCTTGAGAACTAAAAGGAATGGATTCATAAGATTTGGCTGGTAGCTTTTTGGAATAGAGCTAACCAATTTGAGAAGGAAAATGACATTGACCTACTTACAAGATCACAGGGAAAAATATGTCAAGCAACTTCTGAAGAAGAATCAAAAAGCATAGAATCTTATAATAATATTTTGCTGGTAGTTTCAACAGATGGAGCCAACAAAGTTTGCGAGGGAAATATTTTTAGTGCAATATAATATTTAATGAGAATATTTTGCTATGACTGCTTAAATATTCAGGTGAGCGATACAGGCCCTCTTGGGCCTCTTGTTTTTATCGTATTGAACATTGTAAAAATGTTCAGCAAAATTGAACCTGCTACAATTGAAAATGGCCACACAATGACAATCTAAGTGATCAATCTAGTGTCAAAAAAGGTGAAATTTTGGCCTTTTTTGAAGCGCAAGAAAAACACATTAAAACACCTTTTCAAAATGGCCGCTGAATTGGTAATTTTTTTGACATATTTTTCAGATGCGTGTTTGCTAATAAACTTGATAATAATTTGTTAAATATTACAAAAACCCATTACACAAGATCAAAACGAGACTTGAACATGATTGAAACCTCAGAAGAGTACATCCTTAAATGCCAATTTAAAGCCCCACATTTCTACCCTGTGTAATCCAAGGTCACATGGTCAAAAGGTCAAGGTCTCATGACTATGTCTTGGGTAAATCAAGGTCACATGATTATAAAGGTCAAGGTCCTTCTTAACAGTCCTGTGCAAGTCAAGGTTACATCATTGTAAAGGTCAAATTTTCACCCTGTCCATTGTAAGTCAAGGTCACATGATTTTAAAAGTCAAGGTCATATTCCCTCTGTCGTATGTTAATTAGTGTTCCCTGGTGACTGTACATTATGGTCAAGGTCGTTAAGGTCAAGGTCAGACTTAATGGCCTTTTTTTCATCTACATGTGTATTTATGACAAAACAGGTATTTTAAACACAGATACTAAACCAGAAATTTATGTAAATAAACAGGTTTAATGAACAACAGTGATTATAGTGTGGTCAACACCTCAAAGTCTAGTACTTTCTGTATGTGTTGTAGATCTGCTGCTTCTGATGACCGTTGGTCTGACCCTTTGGTCATTGTACAGCTATTCTCAGATGCCCGGTATGAAGAATGCTTTGGTCAATCAACAATATGAGTTTACATCCCAGTCAGGTGACCAGGCACCTTCAGTCCATGAGGAGTCGTATAGGGTGAGTATGTATACATACCTACTGTAGGTACTGTAGACACTTTAGTAAGGGGCCCAGACACTGCCTGTCCACCAGGAGTTGTATAGGGTGAGTATGGATACATACCTACTGCAGGTACTGTAGACACTTTAAGTAAGGTGGCCAGACACTGCCTGTCCACCAGGAGTTGTATAGGGTGAGTATGTATACATACCTACTGTAGGTACTGTAGACACTTTAGTAAGGGGCCCAGACACTGCTGTCCACCAGGAGTTGTATAGGGAGAGTGGGGATACATACCTACTGTAGGTACTGTAGATAGTTTAGTAAGGGGCACAGACACTGCCTGTCCACCAGGAGTTGTATAGGGTGAGTGTGGATACATACCTACTGTAGGTACTGTAGACACTTTAGTAAGGGGCACAGACACTGCCTGACCACCAGGAGTTTATAGGGTGAGTATGGATACATACCTATTGTAGGTACTGTAGACACTAAAGTAAGGGGCCCAGACACTGCCTGCCCACCAGGAGTTGTATAGGGTGAGTTTAGATACATACCTGCTGTAGGTACTGCAGATACTTTAGTAAGGGGACCAGACACTGCCTGTCCACCAGGAGTTGTATAGGGTGAGTATGTATACATACCTAATGTAGGTACTGTAGATACTTTAGTAAGGGGCCCAGACACTGCCTGCCCACCAGGAGATGTATAGGGTGAGTTTAGATACATACCTGCTGTAGGTACTGCAGATACTGTAGTAAGGGGCCCAGACACTGCCTGCCCACAAGAAGTTGTATAGGGTGAGTATGGATACATATCTACTGTAGGTACAGTAGACACTTTAGTAAGGGGCCCAGACACTGCCTGTCCACCAGGAGTTGTATAGGGTGAGTTTAGATACATACCTACTGTAGGTACTGTAGACACTAAAGTAAGGGGCCCAGACACTGCCTGTCCACCAGGAGTCGTAAAGGGTGAGTGTGGATACATACCTAATGTAGGTACTGTAGATACTTTAGTAAGGGGCCCAGACACTGCCTGACCACCAGGAGTTGTATAGGGTGAATATGTATACATACCTACTGTAGGTACTGAAGACACTTTAGTAAGGGGCCCAGACACTGCCTGTCCACTAGGAGTCGTATAGGGTGAGTATGGATACATACCTACTGTAGGTACTGTAGACACTTTAGTAAGGGGCCCTCGGATGAGTTCGAAACTGGGAATTATTTGACAGTAACTTACAGAGTTATTGCCCTTTGTCATTATATTATTATTTGTCCCTATGATGTTGATTGACATTACACAAGAATAGATGTAAATTCATGGGGTACACCTTTTTAGGTCACCTGAGACAAAGTCTCAAGTGACCTATTGCGATTGCCTTTTGTCCGTCGTCGTCCGTCCTCCGTCGTGCGTCCGTAAACAATTTACATTTTCGACTTCTTCTCCAAAACCCCTGAACCAATTTCAATGAAATTTTGCAGGGACCTTCCATGGACAAAGGTCAACAAAA